CATCAAAATACCTCCACACTCTCACTCTCGCGCGCTAGGCTGCTGCCACTCACATCCCACTTTCCATTCACCACATATACAAGCCTAATAATTACAAGATGCTTCCATTAATGATTAAACTGATAGTTGACGGAGTTATCATCAATATGTACACGCTCTGCGAAGGAAGCAATTTTTCAGAGGAAAGCGGCAAGCCATTACGACTATATAGCATTTGGAAGGGGTCAGGATAAGGATTTAGGATGGGACGGGGGAAAAGGAATGGCGCCAAATCATTTGGATGGTCGGGGATTGAACGCCGACCTGCATGAAGCGAGACGGTGGCTCTACCGTCCAGCCCAAGTGGCTCAGCGAGGGAGGGGAGTATTGACCGACGGGGCGAGCCACGGAGACACTGCGGTAAATTAGCGCCAAACTTTGCCTCAACACATCACTCATCCCACACTAGAAGGTGAAGGGACGACGACGTTTCGACTTGAGAATGGTCCAGGACGGACCGAAACGTCGTCGTCCCTTCACCTTCTAGTGTGTGGTCTGGTCAACATACTTCAGCCACGTTATTGTGACTCCTCGCCTGCACATCACTCAGCCCCTCAACACAGCACTAGTGACAACACAGGATGCACTATTTAAGCTCTTTACACGATTAATCCTCATAAATATTTATTGTACAATAAAATATCAATATTCTCATCTGCATAAATCATACGACGGCAATGAGAGACAGACATGGAAATAGACAGGAACATAAAAGACAGACCTCGATCAACCCGTCATAATAAAGCGTCGTATTTTGAGGCATGCATACATACTGTTCCGTTTTCTGTTTTGGGTAAGGTAAGGTTGGGTCCTCTGATAGGTTAGGATATGGGCATTTTAGTACGGCAGTTTCTTGACGCTGGGAAACCTTAGGCCGGGGGACGGGCTGCATACACACACTTGACCCACTGACATACTGACAGACAGATTCACAACCTGTCTGAATCTTTCAGACACTTTCTTTCCACTTTCCAAGGGTAACTTTGGTACATGTAATAACACTGAAGCGTGTTGTGGTCACCAGCCTGGATAATTTACCTGTAGCCTATTTCCAGAAGTCTTCTGTCGCAACCCGCCCCGGAAGCAAGACTTTTCTTGTGATACACTGATCGATATGGCTGTTGTTTCCAGCGCCTCAAACCCCCCGCATAACGTAGACTTAAGAATATATGAGGAGTGAAAACAGAAGTAGGCTTATATAGTCCCATGAAAGACTGCAACTTGTAGTCAACCAAACTCAAGACTTATTATATATATGTATTACACATACACAGTATTTAACAACCCAGCAATCTCTATATGTGGTAATCTGTCTCAATTTAGTATTAATATCCCCCATTTATACCCCTTTTATACATTTAGTTTCTCATTCTTCGTTTTAAAGACATTCCATTGACATGAAGGGCCTAGCATAAGAGAATTTCTGGAATGAATTAAAGAAAACGGGTAACAAAAGAATCAACGGAATCTGCTTTATCTTGAGAGTTCCTGAAGGAGGAGGAGGAGGAGGCGCGGCCAGATCCCCAGTGAGGCGCCGCTCTACCTATTATTAGCCTACAGGAAATGCCTTCTGTCTTCTCTAACCTAAAGGTGGTATGTGTACACGAGGGTGGTGGGTGTACACGAGGGTGGTGGGTGTACACGAGGGTGGTGGGTGTACACGAGGGTGGGTGTACACGAGGGTGGTGGGTGTACACGAGGGTGGTGGGTGTACACGAGGGTGGTGGGTGTACACGAGGGTGGAGGGTGTACACGAGGGTGGAGGGTGTACAAGAGGGGAGCGAGGGTGGTGGGTGTACACGAGGGGAGCGAGGGTGGAGGGTGTACACGAGGGGAGCGAGGGTGGAGGGTGTACACGAGGGGAGCGAGGGTGGTGGGTGTATACGAGGGGAGCGAGGGTGGAGGGTGTACACGAGGGGAGCGAGGGTGGTGGGTGTACACGAGGGGAGCGAGGGTGGTGGGTGTACACGAAGGTGGAGGGTGTACACGAGGGGAGCGAGGGTGGTGGGTGTACACGAGGGTGGTGGGTGTACACGAGGGTGGAGGGTGTACACGAGGGGAGCGAGGGTGGAGGGTGTACACGAGGGGAGCGAGGGTGGAGGGTGTACACGAGGGGAGCGAGGGTGGAGGGTGTACACGAGGGGAGCGAGGGTGGAGGGTGTACACGAGGGGAGCGAGGGTGGTGGGTGTACACGAGGGGAGCGAGGGTGGTGGGTGTACACGAGGGGAGCGAGGGTGGTGGGTGTACACGAGGGTGGTGGGTGTACACGAGGGTGGAGGGTGTACACGAGGGGAGCGAGGGTGGAGGGTGTACACGAGGGGAGCGAGCGTGGAGGGTGTACACGAGGGGAGCGAGGGTGGAGGGTGTACACGAGGGGAGCGAGGGTGGAGGGTGTACACGAGGGGAGCGAGGGTGGAGGGTGTACACGAGGGGAGCGAGGGTGGAGGGTGTACACGAGGGGAGCGAGGGTGGAGGGTGTACACGAGGTGAGCGAGGGTGGAGGGTGTACACGAGGGGAGCGAGGGTGGAGGGTGTACACGAGGGGAGCGAGGGTGGAGGGTGTACACGAGGGGAGCGAGGGTGGAGGGTGTACACGAGGGGAGCGAGGGTGGAGGGTGTACACGAGGGGAGCGAGCGTGGAGGGTGTACACGAGGGGAGCGAGGGTGGAGGGTGTACACGAGGAGAGCGAGGGTAGAGGGTGTACACGAGGGGAGCGAGGGTGGAGGGTGTACACGAGGGGAGCGAGGGTGGAGGGTGTACACGAGGGGAGCGAGGGTGGAGGGTGTACACGAGGGGAGCGAGGGTGGAGGGTGTACACGAGGGGAGCGAGGGTGGAGGGTGTACACGAGGGGAGCGAGGGTGGAGGGTGTACACGAGGGGAGCGAGGGTGGTAGGTGTATACGAGGGGAGCGAGGGTGGTAGGTGTACACGAGGGTGGAGGGTGTACACGAGAGGAGCGAGGGTGGAGGGTGTACACGAGGGGAGCGAGGGTGGTAGGTGTACACGAGGGTGGAGGGTGTACACGAGAGGAGCGAGGGTGGAGGGTGTACACGAGGGGAGCGAGGGTGTACACGAGGGTGGAGGGTGTACACGAGAGGAGCGAGGGTGGAGGGTGTACACGAGGGGAGCGAGGGTGGTGGGTGTACACGAGGGGAGCGAGGGTGGAGGGTGTACACGAGGGGAGCGAGGGTGGAGGGTGTACACGAGGGGAGCGAGGGTGGAGGGTGTACACGAGGGGAGCGAGGGTGGAGGGTGTACACGAGGGGAGCGAGGGTGGAGGGTGTACACGAGGGGAGCGAGGGTGGAGGGTGTACACGAGGGGAGCGAGGGTGGAGGGTGTACACGAGGGGAGCGAGGGTGGAGGGTGTACACGAGGGGAGCGAGGGTGGAGGGTGTACACGAGGGGAGCGAGGGTGGAGGGTGTACACGAGGGGAGCGAGGGTGGAGGGTGTACACGAGGGGAGCGAGGGTGGAGGGTGTACACGAGGGGAGCGAGGGTGGAGGGTGTACACGAGGGGAGCGAGGGTGGAGGGTGTACACGAGGGGAGCGAGGGTGGAGGGTGTACACGAGGGTGCAGGGTGTACACGAGGGGAGCGAGGGTGGGTGTACACGAGGGGAGCGAGGGTGGAGGGTGTACACGAGGGGAGCGAGGGTGGAGGGTGTACACGAGGGGAGCGAGGGTGGTAGGTGTACACGAGGGTGGAGGGTGTACACGAGAGGAGCGAGGGTGGAGGGTGTACACGAGGGGAGCGAGGGTGGTGGGTGTACACGAGGGGAGCGAGGGTGGAGGGTGTACACGAGGGGAGCGAGGGTGGAGGGTGTACACGAGGGGAGCGAGGGTGGAGGGTGTACACGAGGGGGGAGGGTGTACACGAGGGGAGCGAGGGTGGGTGTACACGAGGGGAGCGAGGGTGGAGGGTGTACACGAGGGGAGCGAGGGTGGAGGGTGTACACGAGGGGAGCGAGGGTGGAGGGTGTACACGAGGGGGGAGGGTGTACACGAGGGGAGCGAGGGTGGGTGTACACGAGGGGAGCGAGGGTGGAGGGTGTACACGAGGGGAGCGAGGGTGGAGGGTGTACACGAGGGGAGCGAGGGTGGAGGGTGTACACGAGGGGAGCGAGGGTGGAGGGTGTACACGAGGGGAGCGAGGGTGGAGGGTGTACACGAGGGGAGCGAGGGTGGAGGGTGTACACGAGGGGAGCGAGGGTGGAGGGTGTACACGAGGGGAGCGAGGGTGGAGGGTGTACACGAGGGGAGCGAGGGTGGAGGGTGTACACGAGGGGAGCGAGGGTGGTAGGTGTACACGAGGGTGGAGGGTGTACACGAGGGGAGCGAGGGTGGAGGGTGTACACGAGGGGAGCGAGGGTGGTGGGTGTACACGAGGGGAGCGAGGGTGGAGGGTGTACACGAGGGGAGCGAGCGTGGAGGGAGTAAACGAGGGTGGTGGGTGTACACGAGGGGAGCGAGGGTGGTGGGTGCACACGAGGGGAGCGAGCGTGGAGGGTGTACACGAGGGGAGCGAGCGTGGAGGGTGTACACGAGGGGAGCGAGGGTGGAGGGTGTACACGAGGGGAGGGAGGGTGGAGGGTGTACACGAGGGGAAGGTGTACACGAGGGGAAGGTGTACACGAGGGGAGCGAGGTTGCTAGGGTACACAGACGTCTCCCCCCCCCCCCCCAAGTTTCCAGCTCCGTACTTGAGACAAATATAAAACAATCCTCCAGTCTACTGAACTCATGACGTACGCATCTTAGAACACATCTTTCCTTGGTAGTGTGAAGACACTACGGGGAGACTCCAGATGCTGGCAGTAAGACAATCAGTGGAGGAGACATCTTGAGATAGCAAGCGGGTGATCCAGGTAATAATGGAAGACTGCCTCACTATGCTCCAGAATCCAGGAAGTTCCACACTATACCAGCCTGGAAACATCATCCATTTTTAATGCCTCACGCACCCTTGTCAGTCTCTATTTCCATCAACACGGCATTTTTCGCGGGCTCTCGGTCAGTTTGACATCATTGTTATGGTCAAAATATTGTTTTCATTGTAGTAAATGTCACAGATATATGTATGATGTACGCACTAAGTTCCCACACAACCAGCACAGCTGAGGTGGCCGGCCTGACTGGGCGGTGACGTCACACTATTACCACCACCCACCTGCTCTTCCCACACTCCTAACAACCTTTGACACATTAGAAGAATTGTATCTACATTAACACTATCACATAAAATGTCTTACAAATTCCCCCCCCTGCGTGTAAATCTGTTTATGTAAGGATTTTTGTTAAGAAACGTCTATTTTCTCGAGGTTGAAGCCTCTGGCAATACTGCAGTCGCCATGTGGGCGCGTCACGATTTTCTCGCCAAGTGTAGATGTCTCGCCACGACGACTTCGCCGGAGACTAAAGCTATCTTGCATCACAACCTACAATATACCTCAGGCACCAACTTCCATATAACCTCCTTCAGTAGCACTCAACCATCACACTTACCCCATATTTCAATAAAAATACATACAACATTGAACTTTAAAGGGTTTCAATACAAAACAAATCTGATATGACAATAGTTTAAACGGTATTAAGATAAATATACCTTACAATGTGCACTGGGGATAAGGTCAAGACAAGAAGGGGCAAGAAGATAGTGTGTGAATGGCTCCACCGCCACGCTACACACAGGTGCTAACACACACCAGTCAACATTACTGATGCATGGCCCCGCCCTGCTCTCTCTGGCCGCCGCTACACACCTTCACTGACACAATAAATATGGGGAGGGGGATGAATGGCTAATACTGTGGTCTTCTGCTGCCAAGGGCAGAGGGGAAGTGCGAGGAGAGCGAGACATACAGACAGATACACAGAAAGAGATACAGAGAGATATGGAGAGAGATACAGAGACACACAGATAGACAGAGACAGACAGGCAGACAGAGACAGACAGGCAGACAGAGACAGAGAGATGAGTACCAAGGCCAACACCACCATAACTGGAACAAGCCATCATCAGTAACCAACACAACTACGCCTCACATAACCAACAGAGGACCAACTTACAACCTCCCAACATAATTAGGCTTCAAACCTAAACCCAGAACTCTGATCTCTCAACCAGATAATTATAACATCATCACTTGCAAGTGAATTAAACCATCGCATATGAAAATAAGCATGTGCTGGCTAACCTCATTATCAATACAAACTGGAACATAATTCTCTCCCTTGCTACATACGCTTAATATCTTTCCTTGTCATAACTTGTAAAACAAGTTATTTACTCTATGTGTAAGCTGGCAAGCGCTCTCGCAGAACAAGGGCGTATCCGGCTTGTGTAAGATTGTGTAGCATAGGCTTTGCTTGCGACTAACAACAAAAAACTATTAATTACTCAAAAAAATGAATTTACAAAGCTTTTCACGACGTGGAAATAAAAATTTTTGTTCAGTAACGTCTGTTTCCATGAATATTTAAAAAAAATTCCCATTGTCAATAGTAGTAAGCCTGTAATTAAGCTTGTTAGCCTTATCAAAGCTTAACAACCTTACTAACAGTAACGGGAAGCTTGTTACGCTTATCTAAGTCCACCCCCCCCCCCCCCCCCACCCTTTCGCAAGGTCAACAAATCATATTTCTCCAAGATGCATGTCATCACAGTCCACTAACTCCCAGGTATCTATATATACTGTTGCAACCCGTTCTCGCAAATTCGTATAGTCATTATTGACTTATTAAATAAGTGCATAGGTGACATACTAAACATAATAGATACCCTTAAAAAGCTTCATAGAAAACACCGACCTTACCTAACCTTCTTAGTATGTTAAGATAAGCATCTTATAGCTTCGTAATTACAATTGTTACTTAACCTATTATAGGTATAGGTTAAGTAATAATTGTAATTACGAAGCAATAAGATGCTAATCTTAACATACTAACAAGGTTAGGTAAGGTCGGTGTTTTCTATGAAGCTTTTTAAGGGTATCTATTATGTTTAGTATATCACCTATGCACGTAGTTAATAAGTCAATATTGACTACGAATTTGCGAGAACAGATGCTGCATCTGCATCTATATCGGCAGTCCGATATAGATGCAGATGCAGCATCTCGCCCTACCCAAGCATAGAACCAAACCCTTTGGGCTAACTGCGCCATCGGTTATAAATCGATAATAACTCCTATCCATTCACAATAGAAAAAGTAAATACACTTTTCAGCTTTAAAAAGACGCCTGGCTGTGGACCGGTGGTCGACACAAACAATCTTAATGATCAAGAAAGAACTCGACAAACTCCTCTCAAGAATACCACATCAACCAGACTGTGAGCCATACGTCAGGCTGCAAGCAGCCGCGTCCAACAGCCTGGTTGATTAGACGACCAACCGGGAGGCCAGAGACCGGGCCGCGGGGCCGTTGACCCCCGGAAGCTACAGAAGGCAGGCTCCAATACCCGGACTGGGGAGAGTAGACAAGCTAATACAGTGGTTACAGAGCCCTCAGCCTCGTCGCTCGGGTCACAAGTCGTCTACGCCTTTGGCCACCTGTGATTACAAAAGAATAATTATATATAATAAGAGCATCGAGAGTGATGTAATCTTGCTGGCACGTCTTCACCGGGTTCAACACTATATATATACATATATATTATATGTATACATATATATATGTATACATTATATATATACATATATATTTATTTCTTTTCAATTACCCTTGTGTACGTTCAAATTGTTGAGACCGGGAACGTGGGAACATGTGAATGAAGGTTTAGGTACTATATATATATATATATATATATATATATATATATATATATATATATATATATATATATATATATATATATATATATATATATATATATATATACACCCTACCACAGCCGGTTGTCCAGCAGAGAGAGAGCCCCGTTACCTAATGTCCCGCAACTCTGATGAGCCTGTCGGTAGCCCAGACGGAATCACGGTGAACCCCTGGAAGAATGGTAGACAGTTGGTGTGGGACTACACATGCGTTTCAACTTTAGCCAATACCTATGTTGACTTCAGTGCTACACAAGCAGGAGGAGCTGCCAATCACCGGGAAGCGGCCAAGTCACGTAAATACAGAGACCTTGAGCACCACTACAATTTTGTCCCCATTGCCTCAGAGACACTTGGTGCATGGGGTAAAAGTGCTGCTAGCTTTTTGAAGGAGTTGGGGTCTAAGCTAATCAAAACAACTAGAGACCCTAGAGCTGCCAGTTTTCTTTTTCAGCGCCTTAGTGTGGCAATCCAGAGAGGAAATGCTCACTGCATCCATGGTTCCTGCCCGCCATCTGAGGAGCTGGAAGAGCTGTACAACTTGTGACAAGCAGCCTTGCACCCTGCATGTAATCAATATTGTAACTTTTTTTGTGTAATGACATTTTCAAATAAAGTTAGATAAATATACACACATACCAAAAGAATAGGGGTGGTAGGAGAAGAAAATATAAAAGTGTTCAGTGAGGATCCACAAGGTCTTCTCTGAGTACTCTTTATTTTCTTCTCCGAGGCTATGGGTCCCTACACTTGCACCAGAGGTGGTACCCCTTCTAGGTAGGCAGGTAGGTATGTATATATATATATATGTCGTACCTAGTAGCCAGAACTCACTTCTCAGCCTACTATGCAAGGCCCAATTTGCCTAATAAGCCAAGTTTTCATGAATTAATTGTTTTTCGACTACCTAACCTACCTAACCTAACCTAACTTTTTCGGCTACCTAACCTAACCTAACCTATAAAGATAGGTTAGGTTAGGTTAGGTAGGGTTGGTTAGGTTCGGTCATATATCTACGTTAATTTTAACTCCAATAAAAAAAAATTGACCTCATACATAATGAAATGGGTAGCTTTATCATTTCATAAGAAAAAAATTAGAGAAAATATATTAATTCATGAAAACTTGGCTTATTAGGCAAATCGGGCCTTGCATAGTAGGCCAAAAAGTGAGTTCTGGCTACTAGGTACGACATATATATATATATATATATATATATATATATATATATATATATATATATATATATATATATATATATGTCGTACCTAGTAGCCAGAACTCACTTTTCAGCCTACAATGCAAGGCCCGATTTGCCTAATAAGCCAAGTTTTCATGAATTAATATATTTTCTCTAATTTTTTTCTTATGAAATGATAAAGCAACCCATTTCATTATGTAAGCGGTCAATTTTTTTTATTGGAGTTAAAATTAACGTAGATATATGACCGAACCTAACTAACCCTACCTAACCTAACCTAACCTATCTTTATAGGTTAGGTTAGGTTAGGAAGCCGAAAAAGTTAGGTTAGGTTAGGTAGTCGAAAAGCAATTAATTCATGAAAACTTGGCTTATTAGGCAAATCGGGCCTTGCATAGTAGGCTCAGAAGTGAGTTCTGGCTACTAGGTACGACATTTATATATATATATATATATATATATATATATATATATATATATATATATATATATATATATATATATATATATATATATATATATATATATATATATATATATATATATATATATATATATTATATATATATATATATATATATATATATATATATATATATATATATATATATATATATATATATATATATATATATATATATATATATATATATATATATATATATATATATATATGTCGTACTTAGTAGCCAGAACGCACTTCTCAGCCTACTATGCAAAGCCCGATTTGCCTAATAAGCCAAGTTTTCCTGAATTAATATATTTTCTCTATTTTTTTTCTTATGAAATGATAAAGCTACCCATTTCGTTATGTATGAGGTCATTTTTTTTTATTGGAGTTAAAATTAACGTAGATATATGACCGAACCTAACCAACCCTACCTAACCTAACCTAACCTATCTTTATACGTTAGGTTCGGTTAGGTAGCCGAAAAAGGTAGGTTAGGTAAGGTTAGGTAGGTTAGGTAGTCGAAAAACAATTAATTCATGAAAACTTGGCCTATTAAGCAAATCGGGCCTTGCATAGTAGGCTGAGAAGTGCGTTCTGGCTACTAGGTACGACATATAT